CAAAAGGCAGAAAAAAAACGTCAAAGCCCAATCGTAAAACAATGTGTTGTGCCTCTTGGGGCCACCTTGGGAGATCTCTTGGAACCTCGTCGGCCCTCTTGGGAGCTTCTTGGGGGCCTCTTGGATCCGATTGGGGGCCTCTTGGGACTTCCCGAGACCCTCTCGGGGTAGAAAGCTCGGATTCTCGGTTCGTGTTTCGCTTCTTGGGCCTCTCTTGGGGCCATCTTGGGGCCCTCTCGGGCCGTCTTGGGCGCCTCAGGCACCGCCTTGGGGCTCTCGTGGGCCGCCCAGGGCCCTCTTGGAAGCCTCTTCGGCTATCTTGGAGCTGTCTGGGAGGCCTCTTCCTCCTCCTCGTCCCCCTCCTCCTCCTCCCACTCCAGCTCTCTCTCCTCCTGATCTTCCTCCTCCTCCTGCAGCGTGTTCCGGAAGGCTCCCGCCGGAACATGCTGTGCACAAGTGCTGTCACTGCTGCCGCCACCGTGCCCTGGGTGGTGGGTCAGAGGCCTCATGGGTGTTGCTTTGGATCTCGTGGTTGGCCTGTCGGGGACGTCGTGAAGGCAGTTTCGCAGCTTCTCGGTAGCCGTTTTGGGACCGTTGTGGGGCCTCCTCGGGGCTGTTTTGTGGCCTCTGTAAGCATCGTTTGGGCCCCCTGGGTGCCTGTTGGGGGCATCCTGGGGCCTCTTGGGGGCTCCTTGGGGCCTCCTGGGGCACTCTTCAAGCCGGAGGGTCGAATTTTGGAGTCGTAGTCCCCCTCTTGGGCGCATCTTGGGGCCGTCTTGGGGCTCTGTAGGGCTGTCTTGGGCGACTCTGGGGCCGTCTTGGGGCCCTCTTGGGCCGTCTTGGGGCGCTCTTGGGGGCCTATTGAGCCATCTTGGAACGTCGGACAGCCGAAAAGGCTGGAAGGCCAAAATCGGTCGAAAACCTTCGTAAACTTGATGATTTCGGCCTCTGGAAGCGCTCTGGAGAGGCGTCTTGAAGCGTCGTGGAGTGCCTTGGGGGCCTCTCGGGCCGTCTTGGGCCTATCTTGGGCGTCCTGGAGCGGTCTTTCGGCGACTCGGGGCCCGCTTGGGCCGTCTTGGGAGCCTCTGGAGGCCCTCCTGGACTATTTTGGACCTCCCCGGCCGCCCCTCCTCCCATGGGGGGTCGGAGGCGGCGCCCTCCGAGGCCCAGGACGCGGAAACCCTTTGAAAAACACAGGGAAAATGAGCCCCAGTACCCCCATGGAGGCTTTTCGGCGCTCTTGGGGGCCTATTGAGCCATCTTGGAACGTCGGACAGCCGAAAAGGCTGGAAGGCCAAAATCGGTCGAAAACCTTCGTAAAATTGATGATTTCGGCCTCTGGAAGCGCTCTGGAGAGGCGTCTTGAAGCGTCGTGGAGTGCCTTGGGGCGCCTCTCGGGCCGTCTTGGGCCTATCTTGGGCGTCCTGGAGCGGTCTTTCGGCGACTCGGGGCCCGCTTGGGCCGTCTTGGGAGCCTCTGGAGGCCCTCCTGGCCCATGGGGGGTCGGAGGCGGCGGCCTCCGAGGCCCAGGACGCGGAAACCCTGTAAAAACACAGGGAAAATGAGCCCCGGTCCCGCCATGGGGGGTGGAGGCACCTGTCCTGGGGCCCCCGGCCTCGCCCCCAGGGATATATATATATATATATATATATATATATATATATATACATATATATATAAAATAAACATATATATATATATTATATATATATATATATATGTAGTAGAGGGAGAGAGAGAGAGAGAAAGAAAGAAAGAGAGAGAGAGAGAGAGAAGAAAAACAAAGGAGAGAGAAGAGATGGAGAGAGAGAGAGAGATATACAAAAAAAGAAAAAGAGAGAGAGAGAGAGAGAGAGTGAGAGGAGGACCGCGCGCGCAACACAGAAAGAGACAGTGGGACTGAGACGGATAAGGAAGGAGAGGGAGAGGGAGAGGGAGAGGGAGAGGGAGAGAGCGAGAGAGCGCAGCGCTCCAAACAGCAGGTCTGCCCTGGCCCCGAAGCTGCGAGCGCCCCGCAGGCCTCCATCGCAGAGCGGGAGGCGCCGCTCGCAGACACCTGGCGGGGTCTGCGGGCACCCTGGCCGGAGAACACTGAAGGGCGGAGCCCTGGAAGGCATGCATCCATACACCGACCTGTTCGGGGCGTTTTTGTTTGCTGGGTGCGTGGGCTAGCCCATCCGCGCACCCGTGACTGCAGGGGGCACCAGCCTGTAGCACGCGTTGGCACGCGCGCCCCGTCGCCCAGGGAAACGAACGGCACCGCCTTGGGGCATACCCTCCGCAGAGGCCCAAAGAGAGCAGGCCAAAGGGCAGGTGCCCACTGCCCACGTGGCCCAACTGTAGGGAAGCAAGGGATAGCACTGGCGCGCTGCCCGTTGAGCGTTACGAAGGCTTCGTTACGAAGGCTTGGAGGTTGCCGTGGAGGGACGGCCCCAAGCCCACTGCAGGCCAGAAGGCCTGTTGAACGCAGGTCCAAGCCTCTTGCGCTCCATGAGACCTGTCGATCAGCGGGGCTGACTGTTCCTGAACTCGACGGAGAGAAAAGACAAACTGCTTGGTTCGTTGGTGCAGCGCTTCCATACTGGCGATGAGAGTACACTCGCGGTCACCTTTAGGGGACCGCATGCGAACCCTACCCCTCCCCCTCAGAAATCGTGGGGGGTAGGGGTAGGGCTCGCATGCGGTCCCCCATTTGCCCCAGTGAGGTGCTGCGTAAATGCTTGCCCACGGTCCGTTTGACGGCTTGCCCACCGTCGGTGCGTCGGGCGGTACCGCTGGCGTGGTGGCCGTCGTCCCTTGGCTCTCGGCCGCCCGTGTCGGAGCCCTGGTGGGCCGAGTGGGGGGGGGGGGCATATGGACTTGGGGAGTCTGGGTGGCCGCCGGCTGGGCGGTTGCCGACTCGTCGGGGTGGTCCTCGACTGCACCGTCTTCGCCAAGGGTGCCGCTGTGAAGGGAAGTCGTTGGCTTCGTCGTCGTTGAGAGAGGCCCCGAGCCCGGGCGGGTCGATGTCTTCGCCGTCGATCGAGTTCGTCCAGTGGGGGGGGTCAATGGTCGTCGAGTCCGTCGCAATGGTCAAGTCCTGGTGGCCCGGCCGTCGGGCGTGGCCCTAGATGTGCACCTGTGCCATGCCCCCCTAGACCGATGGTAAGCGGGCTTGGTGTCGTCTTAGAGAGCTAGGACCTAGAGTACCCGGCTCTCATGTGAGGCACGGGGGCGTCCGATATCGCTGGTCGTATGTGGCAACGGCCGCGCTATGGAGAACAGCGGCCAACTTGTGGCGCCTTTCGGCAGCGTCTACCGCGCCTTGTCGGATAACGTGGAGTCTCGCCCCAGCGGTGAGGCCGTTTGAAGGCTTCTGTAATAAGAGCGATGTGCCCTTCATTGATGGGTTTTGGACAAGTCGGGTCTCGCCAGATGCACCCGACGAATCTTCTGCCATAAGTCCGCTTGAGGCCCCCGCGCTGCGTTGGTTTACACCCGAGGACGTTAACGAAACCGTCAACGACCGCCTGGTTGTCGACAAAAACGTGCACCGGCCGTTTTGCCGTGGAGACAAGATGGAGCATGGCAAGGGTTTCGGCCCGTTGCCCAGGCAGAACAGTTGAGCTGGTGATTTGAGCCGTAGTATACGCCGAAAACCGGCCTGGCCAGGAAGGGGCAAGTTTTGTGAGCACAGGTCCCGTCGGTTGCGACAGAAACCCATCGGGCTCCTCGTCCGTCGGTGGACTCTTGATACGGGTCGTCTTCTAGGTCACCCAGGGACGGTCTCGGAATGGGCTGCGGGAACTCGTCTTCAGCCAAACCAGCCTGGAGGACGAGCAGGCGGGGGTCTTCCAGCAGGCCAGTGCTTGGTGTGTGGTGGGACGTCCTGCCACTGTTGCTCGGTGATCATGATTTTCAGGGCGTTCCTTTCGTTTTTCCCAGCAAGGACATTTCCACACTGTATGTTCCGGGGCTTCCTCTTCTTATCATCATTGTTACACGTATTATGATTACTCTTCTTAGTTCTGTACGAATAGTATTACACTATTGTGATTACTGGTTACTTATTAGTACGAATACTGTTGCTTCTCCTTTTTAGTCATTATTAGCCGTATTATCAGCGTTAGTATCAACAATGTTATCCCTGGTTGCGCCATATGCATAAGGGAGAATGGGCGAGTCGAGAGGCCAATCTTGACCTTCCCCAGGTGGGTGTGGTCATCTCCGCAGAGGAAGTTGCATAGGAGATCATGCTAGGTAGTACGTACGGTTTGCCTTTGGCTCTGAAGAGCCACGCATTGGCACATAGAGGGAGAACGAGACAGATGGAGACAGGAAAAACAGATTGAGAGAGAATGAAGAGGGAGACGGAAAGAGAGAAAGGAAGAGAAGAGAGAGAGAGAGAGAGAACAAAAAACAATGAGAATGACAGAGAGAAACACACACCAAACAACCAATAAAACAACACCCGATGATAAAAACGAGAGGAGGGGGGCATACGATCTGTACACATCTATACGAGCGTGTGCATATTCAAGACAACAGAGGCGCGACAGAGAGGAGGCGGGAGAGGAGCAGGAGGAGGAGGAGGTGGAGGACGAAGAGGAGGAGGAGGAGGAGGAGGTGGGCGTGGAGGAGGGGATTGAGAAGGAAAAGGAGAATGAGGAGGGAGAAGGAAGAGGAGTCGCGAGCCCACAGGCCGACGCGCACAGTCAGGACGAGGCGGAAGAGAGAAAAAAAGAGAGAGGAGGAAGAGGAGGAAAAGGAGGGGGAGGTGGATGAGTGAAGAAAGGAAACAAGGGGGAAGAGGAGGGGGAGGAGGAGGCGGAGAAAGATGAGAAAGGCGGAGGAGGATGAGGAAGAAGAAGAGGACGACGACGACGACGAACACGATGACGACAACGACGACGACGACGACGCGGAGGGGGGACACGGAGGAGGAGGAAGAAGAAGACGGCGGGAAGAGGAAGGAGGAGGCAGCTGGGAAGCGACACGCGCGGCGCCAACAGCCCCGGGACGGATCGGAAGACGCCACGGCCATCGCGTCTGGCCCGAAGCCCAAGTCCTCGGGGAGGGAAGGGGGAGTCGTGAGAGGGGGGGAGGAGGAAAGAGGAGAGAGGGAGGGAGGAGAGCGGAGGAATGGAAGAGGGAAGAGGGAAGAGGAGGGAGGGAGGGAGAGAGGAGGAGGAGTGGGTCGACTCGGAAGGAGGAAACGTCGAGAACCACAGCGAAGTCTGGGGCTCAACTGACAAGTTTGGCAGCATTCGCGTGTCACTATGCCCAGCGGCAAAAGAAACGCCGCGGCCTCGACCAACCACCCTGACGGGGGGGGCTCACCAGCTGTGGGGCCTCATGGTAAGGGTTGACTGTCCAAGGGGGGGAAAAAAGAGGAAGCAGGGAGAAGAGGAGGGAATAATGGAGGAGGAAGAGGAGGAGGAAGGAGGAGGGGGGAGAAGGGAGAAGGGGAATGTTGTTACCCTCTCCCTCTCTCTCTCTCTCTCTTTCTCCCTTGTTTTTCTCTTTCTCTCTCTCTCGCTCTCTCTCTCTCTCTCTCTCTGTATCTCTCTCTCTCTCTGTATCTCTCTCTCTCTCTCTCTCCCTTTCTCTCTCTCTCTCTCTCTCTCTCTCTCTCTCTCTCTCTCGGCGCACCGCTTGACCCAAAGCACACCGTCCATCCGACGCGGAACGAGCCGAGCACCGCAGCAGGACGCAGGGCGCCTCTCACGCCTGCCGCGCTGACGCAGGACGCAGGACGCAGGGCGCATCCCACCGCGCAACCCCACTGCAGCGAGAGGCCCCGACGGCGCCACGGCAGGAACCCCGACTCAACCGTCTGTCGACGCCGTAAACATCACTGACTGCCCAGCACTCAGCGGCTCCAGGGGGGTCTGCACAAGCCAAGCAGCCCATCATGTCAGTCGAGCACCCGTGCACGGGTCTCGGCCGCCCAGAGGCTTGATGAGGCACTGTCGCTTCTTCTCTGCCCCGCTGAGGCTGCCTCCAAGGGCGGGGGCGGACCTGTGCACTGCTGCACGAGTCCATTGGCCCCGTCTGGTCCTGCGGCCCTGCCCATCGCACCGCACTTCTTCCAGAAGAGGCATGGCCAGGCCGATGCAGCTCGTGGCCCAGCTCTGGCGCCAGGTGCAACTCATCCCGACGCTCGCAAGCATCCTCGCGCCTCCTCGGCATTCCAGGTCTAGACGGGCTGCGGGACCTGGAACGCCACTTTAGACGCCTTGCCCATCCTCCAGGTGGCCCTCAGCCGCCCCCGCCCCCCGCTGGCCCGAGGCACTGCGCGCCGCTGCCCCTGCCGCCGCTGCCAGCGCAGCAGGGAGGGCGAGCCCGGGGGAACCCTGGCTGGCTGAGCTGGCGGCAGGACTACCGAAGCCCGCTTGCCCCGAGCTGCAGGGGCCAGGGCCGGGGAGGCCGGGTGGCGAAGTCGGCGAGGCCACACTGCTCTCCTCCGACGCATCCTGGCGGCCGCCATCGCCTGTGCCTCTAGGCTCGCCCACGGAACCCATCTGCTTCACCTTCATCGAAGCCAGGGATGTCGAACTCCACTTCGCCCTCGGGGCCCTCCGCCGAGCACCCCTCCGTCTCCTCGCCGAAGAAGTCGCAAGCTCGTGGGCCAGCCACATCGCCCTCCACCTCCGACGCGACCGCGCCCCCCGGCTGCTGCCTCGGCGGGAACGGGGCCTTGACCTTCGCCGTTCCCGCGGCGCCTGCAGCCCGCCCAGCGCGCGCCGAAGGCTGGGGCCTGGCCGCGCAGGGTCGGCGCGCCGCCCCGCGCCCCCCCCCCCCCCTCCCAGGCCTTGGCGCAGACACCAGAGGCACACTGCGGCCTCGGGGCGCCCGCCCACTGCCGGAGAAGGAGCGCGAGGAGGGCGTCGAACGCGCTCTGGCGCAGCGCGCGGACCAGCTGCCGAACGCACTCCGCCACCCAGCGGTCTGCGCCTGCTTCGGGCCCGCCTGCGTCCGGCAGCCGCGCGGGCGCCCCGTCGCTGAGCCTGTCCACCCACAGCTGCAGAGCCCGCTGCGCTGCCAGCGCCCGGGGGATGGGCGGCCGCCTCGCGCGCGCCAGCGGGGATATCAGGGGGGCCCGTGGATCTGGACCAGTGCCCCCGAGGCGCAGCGCGTGCCGCCTGATTTGGCGGTGGACCGCGCCGATGTTGCATGGAAGAGAAGCCCGTCGCGAACCCATGCTCCTTGATCCATGACTAGCTGGCGGCATCCGAACCCTACCCCCACCAGCCATCGATTATCTTGAATGGATGGAAGGTGGGGGTAGGGCTCAGGGTTCGCCAAGTGCTCGACGGATTCCGAACCCTCCCATCGCCGCCCATCGAGTTGCCTGAATCGTGGATCGGCGAGGGCAGGGTTCGGAGTCCGCCTCGATCCATGGTACAGTCGGACCTGGGACAGAAAAACATCCTTCGGGAACATGACCCTCCGCCGGCCAAACGGAAGAACACTCGAGGGTGCCCTCTCCAGGGATACACAAGCACATCCAACAGACACGAAGAACAGGAGGGTACCCTCCCGGAGCTGACCTCGACCCCATAATTACCTCGGTCAGGCAGCAGCAGACCTCCCACATGGCGAGTTCATGCTTCAAGGCTTGTAGGTGTTTTTTTTCTGGAGGTGCAGCTGTTCACTGATTAAGGCCCGCATGGCCGTCTGGCGGACCTTGCGGGCTACTCGCATCGCCTTATTCCAAGGATTTACTGCTTTCTCGAGATTCCTGCCGTATCCTGGCCCGCCCAAGCGCGCGTGCGGACTGCCTCTGCCGCGCTGCGACGCAAAAAGTGTTCTCGAAGTCGCAACTGTCAAATTGCACCGATGGCTGCGCGCTCCGCGGTGGTGTGCCTGGCCACCAGTCCATCTGGCCATCGCGGGCGCCCCAACCTCCTCGAGTGAGGCGCCGCGCCAGGGCGCCGGCTCCGTCGCACTGCGTGACACACAGGGAGGTTCGGTTGATGGCGCCTTCCTTGAGCCAAAATGATTACGGGACCCTCCTCCTCCTCCTCCTCCTCGTCCTCCTCCTCCTCCTCCTCCTCCTCCTCCTCCGCCTCCAACCCTTCCTTCTCCAACCCCTCCTCCTCCTCCACCTCCTCCACAGTCCTCTCCTCCTCCTCCGCCTCCGCAAAGACATTATGCTCAAGGACCGCAGGACGACAGCATGGCCGCCGGGCACGCTCCTCGAGGAGGTCGGTCGAGAAGGCGGAGCAGTTCCAGAAGCGCAGACGCTGCCACAAGGGATCCGCACCTTGCGGGGGAGACGTCGCCCCATCCCTCGTCGCGTCGCAGCTAGAACTACGGCGGGCAATTGTTAGCCGTTGTCGGCCTTCAGGGGCCCTCGTCGGGCTCCAGGCACGTCAAACAACGGTCTGCACCTCTGGATCTGGGAAGGCGTCGCCGCTTCCCCCTCCCCCCTCCTCCTCCTCCTCCTCCTCCTCCTCCTCCTCATCCTCCTCCTCCTCCTCCTCCTCCTCCTCCTCCTCCTCCTCCTCCTCCTCCTCCTCCTCTTCCTCCTCCTCCTCCTCCTCCCCTCCTCCTCCTCCTCCTCCTCCTCCTCCTCCTTTTCAATCCTTCATCCACCTCCTCCTCCTCCTCTCCTCCTCCTCCTCCTCAATCCTTCATCCACCTCCTCCTCCTCCTCCTCCTCCCTCCTCCTCCTCCTCCGCCTCCTCCTCCTCCTCCTCCTCCCCTCCTCCATTATGGTCATCGTCATCGGCATTAGAATCACAGCAGCACCAGCAGCAGCAACATCATCAGCATCACCGTCAGCACCCCCATACACAATAGATTCACAAGTACCGTCGTCACATTCAATGTCGTCATCGCCATCGCCAACCTCATCGCCATCAACATCATGGCCACCGTCACCATCACCGTCACAACCACAATCGCCTCTACGTTCACGCTCATCGTCCTCATCTTCACAGCACCATCACCATCAAAAATAACATCGTCATCACCATCAGCATGCGCATTGCCTAGATAACCCCTGTCTTCGCAACAGTCAGATCGCCCGCCCGCCATACACATCAGCACCATATGGTCACCAGCATCAACAACATCACCACCCTCGACATCACCGCCAACACCACCATCACCATCAAAATCACCGCAAACCCCATCATCATCATCAGCATCATCAGCATCATCATCATCATCATCATCATCATCAGCATCGTCATCATCATCATCATCATCATCATCATCATCATCAGCAGCAGCAGCAGCAGCATCATCGTCATCGTCATCGTCATCGTCATCAGCATCACCAGCATCAGCAACGTCATCATCATCAGCAATATCATCAGCATCAGCATCAGCATCATCAGCATCAGCATCAGCATCATCATCATCTTCATCCTCATCCTTATCCTCATCCTCATCCTCATCCTCATCCTCATCGTCATCGTCATCGTCATCGTCATCATCATCATCATCATCATCATCATCATCATCATCAGCATCATCATCATCACCGGCACCGTCGTTATCACAATTCCCAATGTCGCCGGCCTCGCCGCCACCATCGTCGCCGCCGCCGTCGTCCTCGTCGTCGTCGTAATCACTGCTGCCGCCGCCGTCGCACTCGCTGCCGCCGCCAATGTAGCCTCCGCCGCCTTCTCTGAAATTCACGTCGTCGTCGTCCCCGCCGCCGCTGTACTGGTGATCCTCGTCGCTGGCGTCGTCGCTGTCGTCGTCCCCGTCGCCGTCGCCGCCGTCGCCGACGCTGACGTCGTCGTCGTCGTCGTCGTCGTCGTCGTCGTCGTGGTCGCCCGATTACCCCAATTAAAAGCCATACTGACCCCAAATACGCCTGAATAACCCCAAGATGCCACTAAACGGCTCCCAACGGGCTCCAACAGGTATGCAAAACATTTCTGACTCACAACACAGGCACGGTGGCGGGATGGGCCGAAGCCCACTAGATGAATTTAACTGGGGGTCCATATTAGAAGATATCCATTGCGCGAGCATTCGATTCTAAGCGCGCATTCGGTCATCGACGCGCCGTCCTGGGGGCATCCACAACAGATAAGGTGGCCCCATGGAAGCCCGGAGTGTCAGAAGAACGCGCCAGGACGGCAGCATATGAACCTCCTGGCCCGAAGCAGATAATACGATCCAGGATGTACCTGAAAGACGCCTCCAGCGATGACCCCGACAGTCCCCAAGAGAGCCCCCCGAGAGGCCTAAGGTCACAGAACATAGACATGTGTTGTTTTGTGTGGGTGTGTGCCCATCTCGACCTTTCGGATTCCGACGGGCCCACGAATATTCCAAATAAACCAAAGATGGCCCCAGAAGGCACCGCGCATGCCGGAAATGATCTCGGGGGCGGCCGAAAAAGGCCGAAGTCTCGGCCCATGCGACATTCAAGCGCCAGGAAGACCCTTCCGGGCCATTACCATTCGAAACCGATCCACATGTTGTACGATTCTAACATTACCGCTTTCCGATCCCAAGATCGTCGAGAAAGGTCCCACATCTCCGAGATTGAGGCCCCCAAAAATCCCCACGGCACGTGGTTACCGCACGCGGCGCGAGCGGGCAAGGCGGGACGCGAGACACGCGAGGCACGGCGCGGCGGCCAAAAATGAATGAAGGGGTCGGCGGATCTGGCGCACGTCCACAGAATCCACGTCCGACTAACGTGCTGCCGGGGGCAGGCCCGCGGATGCTGTAATGCAACGTACCCAGTGTACCCAAGCATTGCGTAATGCGTACATGTTGTATTATATTTCATTCTTAGATCTCCCCTGAAATACACACGAAAACCAAAGAGAAATCAACGAGTTTGGCCCATTGGGGGCCTTGGGGGCCCATGAATGCGTCAAGACAGCTCAAGGTTGTCTCGAGACAGGCCAAGACGACCCCAAGACGGTCCACGATGGCCCCAAGAGGGCCAAAGAAGCCCCTAAGAAGGCCCCAGAGGGCACCAACAGGACCCCCAAGAGAGCCTCCAGAGGCCAAAATCACTGTTGTCCCTCAGGTATTTGAAGGATCTTCGCGTTCTCGTTTTTTCTGCTATCCTGAAGAAATCCATGACGGCCCAAGCAGCCTCCAAAATGCTCCCAGGACGGCCCCAGAGGCCCCCAAGAGGACCCCAAGACGGCCCAAGAGGGCCCCAAGACGGCCCAGGGCACCCAGGACGGTCCAAGAGGACCCGAAGAGAGCCCTACGGCGGCCGCGAAAGGCCCATAGGATGGCCCCCGAAGGAACCAAACGGCGCAAGAACGCCCCAAAACGGCCCAAGACGCCCCCAAGAGGCCCCAAGAGGCCCCAAAGAAGCCCCCAAGAGGCCCCAAGAAGCCCACAAGGGGCCCCCAAGAAGCTCATGAGACCATCGCTTCTGAAGAGCACCCACGTTCGTTCCAAATTCACTCGGCGCAACGATTGCCGAACTTCCGGAACGACCTTCAGACCGAATCGGGCCTCAAAAATGCGCGATCGTCTTGGACGCCGTTAGCGCGCAAGGTATCGCCTGTCCTCGAACGACCGCGCCGTTTCGCAAGTCCGTGCCACGGCAGAAAAGGTCATCTGAGTTTGCAAGATCTGCCACCGATTCAAGACGCCCAGTCCTGACCCCAAAACGGGGGGCATCGCTGCGCGCACTTCGAGAGACATTGTGCGCACGACCAGCTTCTAGGTGAAACGTGGCTCTTCCACGATGGCGTCTGAGCACGCGGTGGATAGTTGCACTCGGCATTCGCTCGCACGGCGCGCCTGCAATCGAAAACCCAGCGGAACGTTGCAAGCGCCCTGGCGCTGGCAGGCTGCCCACGGCCCCCCGCGGCCGCATCTTCTCGCGGGCAACGGGGGGGGCGCACAGACAGAGAAGTCGAAGGAAATCTGGAAGTCCACGGCGCGACGCATCTCTAGATTGCCCTCTGGACGGCTGCCTCGGCTGGCCTCGTCAACCTCCGCGGCGGGGTGCTCGGGGTCGTCTTCCACGAGCTCACCAAGACGACTAAGACGCAAGCGTCGGACGGGGGCCTCGCCCCGCCAGGCATCGCGCTGCAGGCCCCTGCTGCGAACAACGCCGTCATCCGACGGCGCGGTATCTTCGCGCTCATCTCCCGCCAGTAGAAACAACTCGTTCTTCAACGCAGTCGACGATGCAGATCCGCCCATGCTTCGCAATTCGCCCAGCGATCTAGCGAGCGCAGCGCGAGCGCGACTTCCCCTCGCAGAGCAGCACAGCAGACGGCGATCCAAATTCAATCCTGATCAGACCTACGAGACAACGTCAACGCTCGCCGTGCAGGCGCCCCCGGGCCCATCGGGGAAGGCGCATAAGTCGATTGCGCTGCAGGAGAAAACCCGAAAGCGCAGACTGACGGACAAGTTTGGAAAGGACCAGCGCGAGCTGTTGGCGTGGAGGGTCATCGGGGAATCTGGGCGCGCACACCCGATGGCAACGCAGTCGCCGCACATCGCCATCGCGCCCCCCCCCGCGAAAAGAACGGCGCCCAGGGCGCCCGGGTTACCACTCCCAGAGAAACGAATCACCGATGACGTCTCAGAAAATCCCTGAGGGAGCTCTTTGGCCACTTGGAGCCGTCTTGGAGCGGTCTAGGGACATCTCGGAGCATCGTGGGAGCCATTATGAGACATCTTGGGATATGTTGAGCCATCTTGGAGGTCATCTTGGGCTCTCCCAGGCGCTCTTGGAGTCATCTTCATCAGTACCCCACCCCTCAAAGAGGCCAACATGTGGCTAAAACCTTAGTAAAATCAATGATTTGGCATTCTCGCCGAGGCCTCTTGGAGCATCTTGGGTGCCTCTGGGGGGTCTCGTGGGGCCTCTTGGGGGTCTTCTCTTGGGAGCCTCTTGGGGGCATCCTGGGGGCCTCTTGGGGCTTCCCGGCCACCTCTTGGGGCCCTCTTGGGGCACCCTTGGGAGCCTTGGGAGCCACCTTTGGGCCATCTTGGGTGAGATCGATCACAGGAGGTGGGGTCACTAATGAGGGTCCCCCCCTCGGGAGGCCAAAATGGGGCCAAGACCTTAGTAAACAAATGGTTTGGGCTTCCTCGCCGAGGCCGTTTTGGACGCTCCGACGACTCGCGGAACCCCCTGTCCAAGTCAAACCCCTCCCAGAAGGGGAAGGAAGGTGGAAGAGGAAACTCCCTGAACCACCTACGCCCAGAGAGCTGGCGGGATTTGCTGACGGACTCGCAAAAAGAAAGCTTCAGCGCAGAGGTGCCGGCCTTGGCGCGGATGCGGGAGCAGACAGGAACAGGCCGAACGAGCCGTGAGCCTGGTCAGGCAGCAGCTGCACGCTCAGACGAAACACGCCATCCTGACGGAGCGTTTGCAAGTCGACCAGCACCTGCGCACGGCGAAGAGCAAAGCGCCAGGTGCACCACAGGCTCTGGACAAATCCCGCACCACCTCTACCGTAGGGATGTGGCTATTGCTGGTCCTTGGATGGCCGCCCAGCTCCGAAGAGACACGCAGAGGGCCAAGAGGCACAGAGCAGAATGGGAAATACAAGACCCGAGAAGAGCTGCCGAACAGAGGGCTGCCGCGTCGTTTGCACCCCCGACTCCTCCTCCCGAGTTTCCGAAGACGCGGCCCTGGTCACCTGGTCGTCGTCTGCCGCTGTCAGCCTGACGGACAGATCAGAAGCACGGACGTTGAGCCGCGATGGCAATGACCAGGGTGACCCCCTGCCCCCCAAAAGGGCGACAACGCCGATTGGAAGTTCACGTCTACGAAGGACTGTCCCGCGATGCGCTTGAGCACTGACATCAAGCTAAAGCGGAAGCCGCCGACAGCCCAAAGGCGCGTGAAGAGTGCCGAAAGGAAGAAGCAAAGAAGGCTGCAAAGAAGATTGCTGAGACGGCGCTGCGCACTGCCTGAAACTTGTCTTGCTCTCCTTCGAAGAAAGGATGAGGTTGGCAACCGATCCCATCCATCTTGGGGCATCTCTCCTCTTCTCTCAACTTGTCTCGTCTGTCCTTCCTGTCTTCTCGCTCACTCGCACTGCTTGTTCCCGCCACGCTCGCCCCGCAGGAAAGGGGCGGACTGCCCGACTAGCCCTGCCGGGCGCACTCCGCCGTGCCATGGCAAGTGTCTGATTCCTGCGCAGTAGCGGTCCCCCAGGTGCCGAAAATGGCCAACGAACTCTCGTCGCGACCTCCTTCGCAACGCAACGAGGCCTGGATCCTCATCCGCATCCTCCCCTCGGCGGCGAGCCCGGGGTGGGAGTGAGAAGGGGCGGGCCTTCGAAGAGGGCTCGAAAGCCCCCCGGCCTTCTGAGAAGCTTCCTGAGAAGACACGGAAAGCTTCTCAGAAGGCGCGGCGCGGGGGCTCCTGAGAAGCCCCGCCGCCTTCTTGGAAGGCCTTCTCCTTCTCACTTCCCCGCCTCGCTCGCCGCCTCCTGCTCCTCCGTCGCGCTCGCGCCCATCCCTCGCCCTAGCGCCAGTGCGGGGGGGCGCCTTCCTCTCCGGCCGCCTCGGGCCGCGCGTAGATGGGCACCGGCACGCCGTCGGCGGCACCCTGAGAAATGGAGTGGTCCCTCCTTCCTCCACCACGCCCCCCCTCCCCGCCTCTCCATGTCTTCCTCTTGTCCGCCCTCTCCCGGAAACAAATGGAAGATAGAGTCAGGTCGGGCATATCCCCCTACAGGCGGATGTTGGGCGATTTTGTAAGATTCCTCTTCCTATATGTTAATAAGCCCAGGCAGAGGGACCCCCCCCCCAAAAAAAAACGGACTCCCGGGATCTGGGGCTTTGGGACCCTCCGGACGGGCCTCGAAGCGGCCCCCGGGCCTCGCAGGGCGTAAGGGGGGGTCATCGCAGACGTCCCAGAGACCCCCAAGACAGCACAAGAGCGTCCCAAGAGTGACCGACGTGACCTCAAGATGGCCCAAGAGGCCTCCAGGACGGCCCCAAAGAAGCCTCCAAAGCACTACCAAGAAGGCGCCAAGAGGCAAAAATCATTGATGTTATCTTGGTTTTTGGTAAGTTTTGGGGTTCTCCTCTTTTCGGCTTCCCGACGCTCCAAGACGGCTGTTTTCTGGGCGTCCGAAGCCGCCTGAAGGCTTCAAAATCGCCCCACAACCATCCGAAAGGGCTTCCAGGCAGTCCAAGAGAGCCCCAAAACGGCACAACATGGGTCCAAGATGGCCCTCAGAGAGCCCCATGGCGGCCCAAGATTGCCCCAAGACACCCTCCGAAGCATTCCAAATCGTGACCCGTGACCCGGTCGTTTAGGGAAACCGCGGTTGGAGGCAGGGTGGCCCGAGGAAGCCCCCACAGGCCTCCAGAATACGCCCAGGAGGCCTCCAGAAGGCCTTAAGAAAGCCTGAAACAACTTTTGTGAGGCCCTCAGAGGCTCTCCAAGGAGGAGTCTCCGCAAAAAAGAGCTGGGGAGGATGGCGAGAATGCGCCGGGTATGGCGAAAATGGGGAAAAAGAAACATGAGGAAGAATAACGAAAAACATTATCATAGCGGCGATGCCGGAAAAGGCAACAAGGAGTTATCGCTAAATTGTCGGCTTGACCTTTCTGCTCTTCCGCCTGCATACCAAATCCCACCAGCCCTCTGGGCGTCCGTGGTTTAGAGCGTTTCCTCTTCCACCCCTCCTTCTTCCCCTTCGGGGAGGGGTTTACCCCTCCCCCTACCCCCTCCCCACTGACCTGGACAGGGGGAGCCGCGGGTAGTTAGAGCGTCCAAGAACGACCCCTGGGAGGCCTAAAATTCGACACCCCTCACGAGGATCGTGGCTCCTGAGGGGGGGACTGTAATTAGGGAACCCCCCTTCGTTGATCGATCTCCTCCAAGATGCCTCCGAGCCCCCCAAGAGGCCCCCAGGAGGCCCCCAAGAGACCCCCAAGAGGCCCCAAGAGACCCCCCAGAGGCACCCAAGAAGCGCCCAGGAGGCCCCAAGAAGCGCCCAGGAGGCCCCCAAAGGCCCCAAGATGGCCCCAAGAGGCCCCAAGAGGCCCCCAGGAGGCCCCAAAGAGGATCCCGAACGGCCCACAGAGGCCCCCCCGAGGCACCCAAGACGCCGAAACGCCCATCAGGACGACCCTCTACTCGCCTGGGCGTTTTTTTTTGGACGGGCTGGTGGGGATACGCGAAGCGTGTAGAATTTCAAGGATAAAGGTGCATGGCGCGAAGCGCCACTGCAGTCTTGTGTGTGTGTATATACATGCATACATACAGATATACAAGGAAGAGGAAGAAGACGAGGAAGAAAAAAAGAAACAGAACAAAATGTCCAAAAGTCGTCCCCGTATTATTTGTTGGGCCATGTTTGATTTTCCTCCTGTAGAGGGACGTGCCCGATTCAAATGTTCCTCTTGCCCTCCCTCTCCCGGAGACAAAAGAAGATAGAGAGAGAGGATCCCGACATCAGCTCACGACGCCAACGTGGCCCTGAGCGGGGCAGCCCGCCAGCGAATCGGAGCTCCCTCGCCGTCACATCGATGTCCCTTTCTTCCTCCACCGATCCTCCATCCAATGAAATGTTCTCAGAACCCAAAAATATTCTAATAATGAAAACAATGTTCTTAGAGCATAAACCCGATGCGCTAAAACAAGACAGTCTCAGCCAGAAATATTATGAGAGCACTTCGTGCAGACCACAAAAATGTTCTTAGAACATTTTTTGGTGGGCCTATGAGCGAGCCAAGACGCTTCGCCACTGCTTGAATCCCGCCCCCTCCACTCTGATTCCTCCGGCCAGGGCAGTGCCTCCCGTTCTCCCCCCTCCCTCCCTGCCCATGTCCATGTCTCTCCGTCCTCCCTCCCCCCTCGTCGGCGCGCCTCTCACTCCCCGCCTCCGTACCGGTCTCCTCTTCGCCCCCACCCCCAGTCTTCACCCTCAGACCCCGCCCTTCGCCCCTGGCATCTCTCCCCACAGACGCCCACCACGCCCCCCCCACCTCCTCCGCAACCTCCAGCCCCTCGTCCCATCACAATTCCCGTCGTTTCATGTCGAATCACCTGGCCGGGTCCGCCCCCATGCCAGAACATGGCCACGTTGACTCACAGAGGCATTGCAGCTGGAGCTACGCGGGCAATCCTCCGCCACCTCCTCCTGCTGTCCATCCTGAATGCTACTACGCTGTATAAAAGGCCCCGCCTGACCACACCACCCACTGTCTCTCCATCCACCTCCTTCCCGCCTCTGGCCCCCTCCGTCCACATCCTTCTCCTCCTCCTCCTCCTCCTCCTCCTCCTCCTCCTCCTCCTCCTCCCTCCTCCTCCTCCTCCTCCTCCTCCTCCTCCTCTCCTCCTCCTCCTCCTCCTCCCTCCTCCCTCCTCCCTCCTCCCTCCTCCTCCCTCCTCCCTCCTCCCTCCTCCTCCTCCCTCCTCCCTCCTCTCCCTCCTCCCTCCTCCCTCCTCCCCTCCTCCCTCCTCCCTCCTCCCTCCACCCTCCACCCTCCTCCCTCCTTTCCTCCTCCTCCTCCTCCTCCTCCTCCTCCTCCTCCTCCTCCTCCTCCTCCTCCTCCTCCTCCTGTTCTGTTCTGTTCTGTTCTGTTCTGTTCCATGTGGAGCCAGCGTCGATGCCGCTAGCCCCGAAAACGAACCGAATTTAAAATCAGAATCACTGGCGTCACCCGCCTCAGCTTTGGACCTCAATTGGGCCACCAAGGTCTCGAGCAGGAAATCATCGAGACCGAAACGTGCAAGCAACTCTCGTTCACTCCAGCTCTCGTCTTGGACGGTGCTGAAATTACCTGAGAACAAACTCGCCTCTAGCAAGGGGGACCTGGCACCTCGCTTGGCGAGGTGGTAGAGCTCGATCCGAGTGGGCTTACGCATTGGGCCGATGGTCCAACCTCTGTATTGCTCGGCCCAACTCGGAAACACTCCCTTCTGCATCCCCCCCTCTGCCGAAAAAAGAGCGCGGGTCGGCTACTGGCACTTCCGCGCGAGAGAAGCAACCCCTCCCCACGCGTAGCCTCCGCACTTCGTGCACATGGCGACACGGCCTCCAGCCAAAACCTGCGCCCCTGTGGCGTCAAACGCGGGAGACATCCTGAGGGTGTGACCTTGGAGCTCTTGAAATAGTTATAGCTCCTCGCCCCTGTCCTCAGGCAAATCAAGAGCAGGAAAAACACTACGTGGGCAGCTCACTGCTTGCCCCATCTCTCGGTACAACTTCCTAATCTTCCTAAGAGATACCTTACGCACTGTGGCCTTACGCTCAGGAAACTCGATCGTGTCGGGCATCTGGTGCTTAGCCTGGTAGACCTCTTGGGCCCCGATCCATCTGCCTAACTCCTTCGAGAAACTGACTAAGGCCTTATACTTATCATACCCATCATTAGCAGGATGCTTCAGAGCTGCAATCTTAGCGTACTCATCAGCCTTATCATTGCCGCGATTGAATACTTCTGTCGTGCGGCCCTCTCTAACATCAACCATGCTGCTGTGCGCTTTCACTTTCACTGCCTGCAGTCCGTCCTCAAAAACATGTCATATTCGCCGCCACATGTGCGCTCTCTCGTTCATGCTGTTGACTGACCACTCACGGTCGAACAAACAAGACAGCGTGCCAGCACAATCGGTGTGTATGACAATGTCTCCAAAACAGCAATCACAAGCCATGAGGATGGCGTAATCCTCTGCATCACGGGACTGCTGCAGAGGGCAAACATCTGCGGGTACAGCACCGAAGGCCGCTGACAGAAAACGGCCGAACTCGTCCGTCATCACCAGCTCCCATCCAGCTCGCCTAAACCATCTGCACGACGGATGTGTCGCTGAACCATCTGAGAAGATGTGAGCACCAGTAAGATATCCATTCGCAGGTCTGTTGACCCAGTAGATGCCTGCAGACTGCGTCACCAACGGCTTCAAGATGAGCTCCCGAGGAAAAGGCAGAATACCAGCAGCGAACTTCCTCTCATCCTGATGCCACCGACGTATGTTATCTGCGGCCTTCAAAAGCGTGGGTGAACAGATATCCTTTCTCTCTGTCGTCCAAGCGTCACAGCAAAACCGTTTGTGGAACAGCGTGCCACGATCTGCACCACAGAGAACACATAGATCATTGTCCGATAACTTATGCTCGTACATCCGATCCATAGTCCACGTGGTGAAGCTCAACGAAGGCCTCAGGCAGTTCTGATGGTGTTCGTGCCAAGCCGGCTTGGGACCGCCGTCGCAGAGCTGCAACATTCCGTCCCAAAGAATTGGTCGACACCAAACTGCATTGCCACTACGCAGCTTCAAAGCCTCCACATCAGATCGGTCACGTATTGCATCTCCTGCCAGCTTATTGACCAGCACGGGCGAGAGGCAAAACAGATCAATAACACCGGCTTGCGTCTGGAACAATCGAGCCGATAGGGGCTTCCAACCAAGCTCCTGCATCGTGAGAACCAGCACGTGTGCAGGTGATGTTGCTACCGCCCATTTATACTTGGCACGAGCAAGATCGCTAATCGCCTGCTGCAAAACGCACTCTAGCACCTCAACCTTAACGATGCTGTCCCAGACGGCCCTGGCCCACTGGAGCACCACCTGGATATGATAGAAGA